TCACCACTGGACCAATAAACAACATTCTTATCAACGGACAAAAGACTGAAGTTGTTAAGGACTTTATTATTCTTGGATCAACCATCAAAACTCATGGAAGCAGCAATCAAGATATCAAACAACGTATTGCATTAGGCAAATCTGCTGCACAAGATCTTTTTAAAATGTTGAAGAGCAAAGATGTCAGCTTGAGGACTAAGGTGCGCCTGATCCAAGCCATGGTATTTTCAATAACCTCATAGGCATGTGAAATCTGGACAGTGAATAAGGAAGACCATGGAAGAATTGATGCATTTGAGTTATGGTGTTGGAGGAGACTATTGAAAGCTGCCAAAAGAACAAACAGATCTGTGTTGGAAGAAGTGCAACCAGAGTGTTCCTTGGAGGCCAGGATGGCCAAACTTCGTTTCTCATACTTCAGATATATTGTCAGGGGGGACTAGTCAGAGGTGAAAGATATCACGTTTGGTAAGGTGGAGTGTCGGAGAAAAAGAGGAAGACAAGATGGATTGGCAAAGTGGCAGCATCAATGGGCTCAAGCGTGGCAACAATTGTGAGGTTGGCCTAGGATCTGGCAGTGTTTTGTTCTGTTGTGCATAGGGTCGTTGTGAGTCAGTACCGACGTGATGGCCCCTAACAACAACAACGTAGTTGTTTCAGAAAAGCTTTATACGTGTGTGTGTGTAAACTTTCTGGTTCTTACAATTCTGGAAATGTCTTTATTTTGAATTTTCTACTTGAATGCTGATGAGACAACACTTAGGAGTCTAGGTCCAAAATAGCTTTTCCTCATAATTTTGAATATATATTCTATTGCCTTTTAGTATTCAGTTTTTCAGATGAGAAGGCCAATGGCTCTTATACTTTTGAAAGTAATTAATTTTTCCTCTTGGGAAACTTTTAGGATATTTTCTTTATTCTAAACATTCTGAAAATTCATCATAATGTACCTAACTGGGAGCTTTTCTTTCTTTCTTAAAAACTTTTTATTGTGAACTTGGAGGAAGGTTTACAAAATAGGTAAGTTTTCCATTCAAAAATTCATACACATTTTTGTTTTATGCCATTGATTGCAATTCCCACAATGTAATATTCCCATAATCCTCCATTTCCATTCCTCCTTCTTTCCTAATTCTCCTGATCATTTTCCTTGGGCAAATGCTACCGTTTTTATTTCAAATGGTTTATTATCCTAAGACTGTTTACCTCCCATGGGGGTGAGTTCATTTCTAGACCTGAAGGGTGACTAAGAGCCTTAGTCTTGGGGGTTCCACTAGTCTCCATCAGACGAGTAAGCCTAATTTTTTCTTTTATGATTTTGAGTTTTAGTCCACATTTTTCTTCCATTGTGTCCAGACCATTTAATGTGATCTTAAGGGTGTTGATTATTCTATACTTAATAGGTCTTTTCAATCTGACAGCTTATATCTTTGCTTGAACATTTCTTTGACTATTCCTTTATTTCATCATTGCCATTCCTCTTGTTCTTTTTGTCTGGAGTTTCTATTAGACAGATGGAATTTTCTGGTTCTATCTTCTATAATCTTAATTTTTATTCCATGTTTTTAGTTTCCTTGTAATTTTGGTTGCAGATAGATAATTTCCTGGCTTGATCTTTTAACTCATGCATGCATCCGTTCTTATTTGTGTCCATTCTGCTAAACAGTTCATCTACCTGTTCAAGTTTTTTCTTTTTTTTTTTATTTCAACCATTGTATTTTCTTTTCTAAGTTCTCTCTAATTTGTCCTTTTCCATAATGACTTTTTCCTTTCTTTTTTGTAAAATTTAACAGATGTAATATGCTCTTGAATCGCCCCTAAAATTATGGATTACATTAATTTTCAAATCCTTTGGCTCCATTCATTCTTTTTCCTCCACAGGTGTCCATTCATCTGGGAGTTGAGTGTAATGGCTCTCTCTTTTGGTACTGGTGCTCCTTGAATATGGGCCTTTTGCTGATTGCTCTTTGTGACTGAGAATCCTAGTTTCCACCTCTGTGGGTAAGGTTCTCAATACAAGAGCCTCTCACTGGGCATGTGCTAAAAGAAAGACAGGATGTGCTGCCATGTGGGATAGGCAAGACATTTCTTTTTGAGGTTGAGGTCTCCTGGGAGCTTTCTCTGGGAGGTTGCTCTCAGCTTCTGAGCTGTAGCAAATGCTCTCTAAATATGAGTCCTCAGGGATCTGCCTACCTATGGCCCTAAGCCTCTCCTGGACCTTGAGTTATTTGGTCCTCAACTCAGAAAACCTCAGAATTTCCTTACTTCATTTAGGGGTATACTTTTCTCACATTTCGTGTCTCTATAATTGAATTCCAACTGTTTTCTTCTACTTAGGAGTTTATTAACAGTTTGGGTTCATCTGTAGTACTCTTGAGGAGCCCTGGTGGCATAGTGGTTAAGCGCTCAACTGCTAACAGAAAGATTGGTGGTTTGAATTCACCAACCGTTCAACAGGAGAACAATGAGGCAGTCTGCTCCTGTTAAGATTTACTGCTATCTGTCTGATAGAGTCACTCTGAATCGACTCTTGGCAAGGGTCATTTTGTTTGTTTTATAGTACTCTTTTATGCATCCTCACCGACCCAGCACTGTTACGAATTTATCCTCTTATAGTTTTCATGTTCTTCTTGGATTTTCATTTTCTTGGTATGTTGTGAAGTGTTAATTTTCTTTGAGGTTACCTTATAGTCCATTAACTTTTCCCTCCATTTGGTGCAGTCTATTTTATCCTGTAATCTACCTGACTTTCTCACCATCTGGATCTCTGTTCCTACGTGTTTACCTTCTTTTACATTGTAATTGTTTTGAACATAGACTGACCTCCCAGATTCTCTGAGTTTGTTCTTACAGTTTTGTTCTGTTCTCGACTCTTCCTTCTGTTGACTTAATTCAGGGAGATGCTGCCATGTATGTCAATCTCTGGTTGTTGTCTGTTCTTGTTGGTTCTCAGTCCACAGAACTCCCTTTAGGATGTTTTGTAGCACAGGGTTGGCTTTGGCAAAATCCCTTAGCTTCTGTTTATCCTGGAATGTTTTGATTACACCGTCGTATTTGGTTGATATATTTGCTAGATAAAGGATTCTTGGTTGGCAGTTTTTTTGTTTCAGGGTGTTATGTATGTCTCCCCATTGCCTTCTTGCTTGCATGGTTTCTGCTGAATTTATCCTTTTAAAAGATATTTTCTATGATCAAAACCTTTAAGAAAGGAGGGGAGATAGATTCATGTGCTCCTTCTGTTATCTGTGTCCAAATCCCTTATTTAAAAGCAACATATTGTTACACAGCAGGTTAAATGCTCTTGCCTTCTGATAGCTGGTTGGTGATCTGAGAGAGGAGCTGATGTTGTGCTGATGTTTAGGGAGCCCAACACTTTGATACAATACATTCTGAGCAATCATGGGGTGGACTTGGGGACCGGGCAAGGATTCTGTGGAACATGGTGAAGGTGGGACTGTGTGATACAGCAGGTAAGGAATGGAAAATGACCCAGTATATGTAGACTATGTATGAGCTAAAATGGACTTTAGAAGTCATCTTGTCCAGGGCTAGCATAAATAGTTGTCATCTGCCAGCCCTGAACTTGGTAGTCTCAGAGTTTGAGGTTTGTGATGAACAAGAAAACAAGAAGAAGCCAGAGGCAGACCTAGGGGCATCATTATAATCCAGATGACAAAGGAAAAACAGGTTAGACATGAGGAACATCCGCTTTCCCAGATGTTGTGGAGACCCAGGAGCACCTCTGTCAAGCTCTCAGGTTACAAACCTTGGTTCAAATGAGGATGAAACTAAGTGCGTGTGGATATATCCACCGACACAGCAAAAGGCCTAGACATAGAAGGTGGTCAATACCTAGTTCATAAGGAAACAGAAGCTCTAAATGGAACATGGTGCCAGCTTGGATTTGAGCCCGTGAGGTTAACAAGCTTTCTGTCTGTCACCCAGTGTAGTAAATCATGGTGTCACCTGCCCCGGTGGGCAGAGTGACCCAGGCTGGCCCTGTCCCCATGCAGGCTAGGGCCACACTGTGATACCTTTCCTGGCTCTGCTGCCCCTCCCCGGAGGTTCCTCTTCTCTCTGATTAGCTGAGGCAGAGACCCTCATCCTGACTGATAGATGATAGGAGTGGGGTGGAGGTGAGGAATCACCCCACTGGGTGACAGATGACACCAACCTGAGTGACACCCCTCCTTGGCTGTCCCTCCATCCACGGCAGCAGCCTGCCTACTACTGCCAATACTGAAGGCTCTGGGGTCATTTTGGTGTTACCCCACCGACAGTGTTGGGGGTTTTGACCTGCACCCCCATCCCTAGTAACACAACTAATTTGAGCCTGTTCAGATTCTTAATGAGGGTGAGTTCAGTACTTTAAGGTTTCAGATGGTTATCGATAGACGTGGCAGTGTCCAATGGATACTCAATAGAATGTCAATCAATAGAAGTAATACTGCAGTGGTTGGCTTGCTAGTCAGATGAGGGAGACCCAGCACCTACCTCGCTCATTCTGCGTCTACACTTGAATCATGCAGGTGTGTATGTGCCCCTGTATCCTCAGACACCCACCTGAAGAGAAGCAACACAGCTTGAGGGAAGGTCTGAAAGTTGTTGTTCCGATTGATTTCTGTGGTGTCATTCAAGGCGATTTTCCCAAACACCTAGCAGGGAGAGGGAGCAGGGCTTTGGTAAGTGGTGGGCAGAGAGGTTCCCCTTCCCACTCACTATTCAATGGTCTCTTCAGGGCTCACAGCTGACCCTGGGATAGGACAGCCTGTGTATCCGCGGGACTTCATACAAAGTTGCCTGACAATGCAATATGGGGGCAGGGCACTGGCTGCCTTGTCTGGCCTCCCCTTTAAGTCTCCAAAACAGAAATGTGTAAGAAGAGTCTCACGGGCCCTCGGGAAAAGTCCTTGTGACCAGTGGGAGGCTGAGGGTGAGTGGACACAGAGGCAGGGCCTCTGACCAATGAAAATGGCTCAGGGACTGCCTTTGTTTTGTTTTGCCAAGCATTCTTTCAAATTTAGTTCTTGAATTCTGGGGGTGATATACAAGGAGAGATCCTATGCTTAGACAAGCCTAATTCACCTGTGAAATACTCAGAGGTCTCCTCTTAGCCTCCTATTCTTTTACAGAGTTTGGGAAGGCTGTCTTACCTAGGAGCAGAACTAGGCCTGGGACTAAGGGGGAAAGAGTTCTTGAGCTCCCATATTCTGCACTTGACCATTCATTCATATAGGAGGAAGTTCTGTCTCCTGAGACTTTTCTGAGGGGATGGGAGAGGAGACTCACTAAGGGTAAGAACTAGAAGACGGTAGCAGGGATCTGTGACGAGACAAAGTACCAGGCAAAGGAGAGCTACGAGATGGAAAAGCAATTCCTACCTGCATTCCAATCACGGCATAGATGAAGAACAGCATCACTATCAAGAGAGCCACGTAGGGCAGGGCCTGGAAGGAAGCACAGAGGCCGCCATGAGGCCAAGGTGTTGGGGGCTGGCTCCTGGGGTGGAGTCCCTTCCCAGAGGGCACCATTTCTTCCCTCACTGCAGCCATCTGCTGCTGCCTGGCTTATTGGGGAGAGGAAAACATTTCGAGGAGTTCCATACAAGTCCTGGGCACCTGCAGAACAGCCTCAGAAATGGGCACTAACTTCTCATGTTCTGCTCACCTGAGCAGCAGTGTGGCATGCTTAGAGAAAAGCAGCTTTCAGAGTAAGGGATGTAGTGATACCACTTTTGTAAGAACAAGAATGGCCAAAATCTCCTCCAACTACTAGTATACTGAAAGAAACTGTTTTAATTCTCCAGGAATCCAGACTTCGGGGTTTGGAGTTGGGGTGACCCACCAAGGACATGTGCCCTTAGGCATCCTTTTGAACTTTGAGCCTTTAAGGACCTGTTTTCCTAAAGATACCTTCCAGTCACCAATAGGCCAAGAAGCAATGTAGTGGAAATTATCTTGTGTTCAGCATCGGGCTCTTCGAGAAGGATCTATGTAGTCAGTTTTGAGGAATGGGAACTGACTAGAAAATATATGCATGTCCTTGCTGTTGTTTAGTGCTGTTGAGTCGGTTCTGACTCATAGAGATCTTGTGTAGGGTTTCTGAGGAGCAGCTGGTGGGTTTGAACCACTGAACTTGTGTTCAGTGTGTATCCTACAACGCCACAACTAGACTCCATGGCATGTTCTTAGCGACTCTGTTTCTACAACCCACCAACCCTAGAACCCTGCAAGTGTTCTGATGTCATTTCCTGAGAAATTAACATGACAGTAACTTGCTTTACTATTCCTACTTCTGAGTGCATATGTTTGGATTGAAGTTGCCTGATTCTAATCCTATCTACTCACAATAAATATATTTGATTACACTGATTTTTGGTCTCTCTGTGCATTTAAGTTTTGGACAATGTGCTTGTTTGAGCCAGGAGAAAGACATGAAAGAATACATTCAGTGCTAATAGTGGTTACATACGGGAGGAGTGGGTGGAGTGAGCTTTCTGAAATAGCTTGACTTTGTTTCATTAGTGGTACCGAGCAGGTATTATTACATTAAAAACATTTAATAAGGAGAGAATATACAAGATGGTGGATTGGGTGGAAGTGCAGTAAGGAGCTCCATCAGCAACAACACAGAATACAGGACCAAGCAGGCTCAGGGGATAGTCCCAGAACTCTGAACCACATATAAAGGAATATTTAGAAGGTTGGAAGGCTTCCAGCTAGAGGAATTTGTAGCAGAAGCAAGAAATCCATTGCTTTCTAATTCAAGATGCTCAGCTGCTCCAGGAGCCACCATCTTGGGTGAGACCAAGCAGGGGAAGGATCAGAGCAGCCACAGACATCT